TAGAGAGTTGCCTCAAGCACCTTTTGAAAAGGTAGCAAGTGATATATTAGATTATGGTGGACAATCATATCTAGTTTTGATCGATTATTTTTCTAAATGGCTCGATATAGTGAAAATTAATTGAAAAACTTCTTAGGTGGTCATCAAGGAGTTAAAGAAAATTTATTCAACACACGGAATACCCTATGAAGTCATATCAGATAACATGCCTTATAATTCATGGCATTGTTAGCAATTTGCTAAAGGCTGGGATTTTCAGTTTGTAACTTCCAGTCCCCGCTATCCACGGTATAAGGGGCAGGCAGAGCGAGCCGTTCAAATTGCAAAAAAATGGTTAAAAAGTGTGACGACTTAGATATGGCGCTTATGGAGTATCGCAATACTTCAATAAATGGAACAGATAAAACACCGGCCCAATTAGTGACTAACAGGGTTCTTAGATTGAAGCTACCGTCAAATAAAAAGCACAACGACATAAATCTAAAGAAGAGTGGAAGAAACTAGAGGCAAGAATGAACGAATATAACAATTATTATGATAGAAACACCAAGGTAAGAAGAGAACTGGTGCCAGGAGAGAATGTAGGTGTCAGAGAGGGTAGAGAATGGAGACCAGGTAAAATTCTGGAAAAAGTAGATGAGGTACCCAGATCTTATTTAGTGCAGAAAGAAAATGGGGAAGTGGTCAAGCGAAACAGTTATTACTTAAGGCCTTCCCTAGTTAAAGCGGAAATTAAGAAGAATACTGATTTTGCACATAATGATAGATCATTAAACTCCTCATCTGGAAATCAGAGTTGTGGAGTAGAGGAACCTTCAACCTCCCAGATGAATGCTGGAAATAGAACTAGCGCTAGAGTCAGAAGGGCTCCAGTGCGTTTTAAGAACTATCAAATGTAAGGGGAAAGATGTCATATTAGTAGGTTATGATTAAGTACGGTCACGGGGCTCTAGGCACAATGTATGGAGACTCGTTGTCAGTTGTCTTACTTGTGAGATTTAGAAGATGGGTTTTGGAAATTGTTGATTCCTAGAGACTTTGTTAAATAGTATGTTTAAATAAATGTATTAAACACAATGAAATATTATTACTATTATAAGTAGTATATTTTGCATATATTTAGAGTACATATTTGATATACTTACGAAAAAAAAAGTGTCAGAAAAATATATAAAATTGTATTCATTACAAGTCTGAGACATCTAACGAATACCTTCACAATCCTAAAAAATCCATAATAACACGTTTTACAAAAACCAACTGACGTGCGAATCTCGCGCCGAAAAGGAAGCAGGAAAATTTTCTATTTGTTAATATCGATCCCGATTTGTTTACTTTTTCTTTTGTTCGCGCTTCGAATATTCTCAGTATTCTTTTCATGCTCGAATTATTAAAAGTAATTCTTAGCTTCTTTGGTAGCTTTTCAGTATAAGCAGCAGGAGTTTAATAACTTGTTCAGTGGCTGTGTGACTTCTCCGAGCACCAATATAATAATAGTTTTGGAACAATTTTACACAGTCTCGACGATAAGATGGGCAAAAATTGCCGATTTAAATCGGAGATTTCTTTGAAAATCGGAAATAAAATGTTCTACGATATATTACATATAGAACAGTACTGTTATGTAAGAAATTTTAAGCACTCTGTTTGATTTTTATCATATTTATTTATTTGTATAGCAATTACAATATATTTAGAACAAAATTACAAACACTAGTAATATAGGTATATGACAAACTTTAAATAGTTACAAACAAACATCAAGGTATTAGTATAATCAATTTACTCTGAAGTTTCAAACAGGAAGTCTTCAGGGCTCCAATGTGGGATCTTGAGGGACACTCTTCAATAATGTGGTCGATGGTTTGGTTCTCCCCACAGTCATATTGAGGAGATGGGTTCTTTCCCCATTTATGTAGCATGTATGTACATCTTCTATGTCTGGTTCGGTTCCTATTTAGAGTAGACCATGTTTTGGGTGAAAGATCAAAACCTGGTGGCTTGTGGGTAATGCAGGGCATGTTATTTTGCCATGCGTTCCATTCTTGGGACCATGCATTCGTGATGTTGAACTCCTCATGTATCATTCTTGCCGTTTTCATTGGTAGTTTTCTAGAACGAAGACGGGTATTTCGTGAATTCTCGGTATCTTGGTGGATTGGCAGGTTTATGTTGTTCATGATTTTTTTGTAAGTGCATCAACTCGTCGTAAATGTGGCGGTGGGATGTGACTTAATACTGGAAGCCATTGGGTGGGAGTTGATTTAATTGTACCAGCTATTATCCTCATAGTGCTGTGCAGCTGAATGTCGACCTTTTTTACATGTGGACTGTGTAGCCAAACTGGAGCACAATATTCAGTGGTCGAGAAAATAAGGGCTAAGGCAGTAGAGCGGAGAGTGGAAGCCGATGATCCCCAGGTGGTACCGCAGAGCTTCTGTATAATGTTATTTCTTGTACTAAACTTGTGGGCAGTTGTTGTTTTTTATACTTTGGCAACTATGTCAACTTCGATCTCTGACGTATATAATGATGTAAGTCGTTATCTAAATTAGATGAAGTATAGATGGTCTGTGCTTTATCCTTTAGTGCCCTGGATGATTTTACTATATGTGATGCTATGGCATCTGGCTTTACGTCTGCCTCTCAGCGTTTCGTACGGACACCACTCCCTAATTTTCTTAGTAATGATCATGACTGTCTGCTTGATTTCTGGAATTTTAAACTTTCTACTGTTTTGGTCCACTTTTGGCTTCTAGCAACGTCTAGGCTGTTCATCCGCTTTTTCTTGGTCGCCAGTTTCAAGAAAGCTCTGGTATAATTCCTCACTATTTTCCGATCAGCCAGGAACATATTCTTTGCGACAGCCTCTTGATATGTGTTTTTTGGCTACACTTAGCATGGCACCAACAAATCTGTGGTTGTTTTTGATATTAGTTGTAATTCACCCTAGAAATTTATCCAAATCCGCAGAGGAGTCAATCCAGTTGGCCTTTTTAAAATTCCATCTTGGACGTGGGATAGAACTAATTAAAGGGATTTGCGTCCCTACTTCTATTATTACTGGTCGATGTTGGCTGTGTGGGAAATTAGTTAGAACTCTTCGTGAGGTTGGGGTTGTATTTCCGCCTCCATGCCGTGGATCTAAAAGTTGGTCGATCTTTGGAATCAAACAAAAGTTACAGGCGTTCGTCTTCTGCCCATTTTATTAAAGCATTCCCACAGTATTCGTATCACTAATATTTTACTTCTACTGTCCATGATGCCTATTGTAATCTCCAACGTATACAGCAGGGTGAGGGTGTAATTTAATTGCTTGGGCTGTCCAAGACGTAGCAGGTGGCTTATAAATGTTGGACACAGTAATGCTAGCGATTTTTGTGACCACATTATAAATACAGTTATCAGTGGAAGTAGAGATTAGCGAAGCATTTTTAATATCTTCTTTGACATATGTGGCTGTGCCGTATGTTCGGTGGTAAGTTGCGCCTAATAGTTCATAGCCCCTTTTTGTCCCTTTTTGTAGTTGCTTCTCTCTTTCGCAGTGTGTTTCCTGTATAGCAACTAAGTCATCTTTTGTCATATGTTGTCATCTTTTAATAGTTTTGATAAAAACTGGCGGTTAGCTTATGCCTGTTATGTTTATATGGCAAATTCAAACTATAGGTCCGATTGGTCTGGTTGTGCGGTCCTCACAAGGGCCGTTTATTTTGATTATCATTTTTCGTTGGAAGTGTTGTTTGGTCAGGAGATCCTAAGGATTGTCTGACTGCCAGTATGTGTTAGTTGAATTAGCGTTACCCAGGCTGTATGTGTAGTATAAATATTGATGTTATTTACTTGTTGGACTAGAACATTTTTAATGATAATCTTGATTTAAATTACCTAGCAACGTTTTTAATAGATAATTATTATAATCTTGCAGTATCGCAATATTTCCCACTAAAAAAAGTATTCGAATGTATTTTTGTCTTACAATCCTGTCAATACACAAATTCTTTTTAATCACAAGTACTATTAGGACAGAATTATTAGGGTACAATTTATTTGCAACCTAAAGTTTGCAGGTATTCCTAAAGTAAGGTATCTTCTTCTTACGCTGCCTGATCCTTAAGGACGTTGGCCATTACATTTGCCCGTTTAATCTTATTTGTAGCAGCCCTGAATAGTTCTATAAAGGGCATGTTCGTCCATTGCCGTAGGTTTTTAAGCCAAGAGTTGCGTCTTCTTCCTGGTCCTCTTTTGCTATCGACTTTGCGTTCGATTAAAAGTTGGAGCAGTTCATACTTTTGATTTCTTATGATGTGACCAAAATATTGTGTTTTCTGTACTTTTATTATAAGCATAAACTCTCTTTCCTTATTCATTTTCCGCAAGATTTCCGCATTTGTCGTATGGCTCATGTAGAATATTCTGAGCATTTTACGGTATCACTAGAGTTCGAATGCTTATATCCTTTTTTGTGTGGCTTCTGTCATTGTCCAGGCTTCAACAACATAGAGCAAGGTGGAGAAAACGTAGGTCTTAAGTATTCAAAAAAGTAAGGTATACATAAGGTAAGTACAGGCTATGAGGGATTCAATAAATATCTATGCTTATGTTAATCTATCAGAAGTTACTAATTAGAACCACATTAAATTAAAATATGGTTGTAACAAATATTTTGCATAAAATAAAAATATCTTTCAAAAATCTAAATCGTTTCATAACCTTGATAATTAACATGGAACAGTCTTTAATGTTAGGAAAAAAGGTAAAGCTGCTGGACAAACAAATGTTTCCGCATAAAATGTGCAGTGCTCATGAATTATATCAATAGAATTTACTGTAAATAACTTGTTAATACTGTAAAAAAATAATACAAAAGCATTTTTTTTAATTCAATAAGAATTATTGATTTTTTTTTATAATCGCATTCTTTTTTGTTTCAGTTGATATTCGACGAATTCAAAGTAGGTCGATACGAAGCCTCCGCTCTTGACGGCTGTCCAGATGGTTACATGCAACTCAGCGAACTGGGTCGACCCTTCACTGGAGGCTCCTGGTGCGGAACGTCATCAGGTCCAGCTGCCTACTACAGTGAAACGTCAACAATAACAGTTACAGTCAAACTGTTTGGTTCAGCAGAAATTCCATTTGCTTTTCGTCTAAGATATAGGTTCTTCTCCAAGAGAGAAGCAATAGTTAGGTTCGGTTCGCCGGTGTCTCCTTTAGAGAGAGGCCAGATAGCTCCTGGAACTTATTGTACTAGACAATTCGAAGAGTGTTATAGAAAGCCTTGTAGATTACAATCACCCAATTATCCTGGTATGTATCCCCGAAATGTTTCGTGTTACTGGAGTTTAAGGCAGAAGTTTGTACCGACTTGTAAACATGCTATGATTTCTGTGAGGCAGGAAGCTGTGCATAAAATGCAGATGAAGAGATCGATCAATGTTGCTGGCTTGAATAAAACTGAAAGAGTGCTAAAAGCTTGGAGAGACTGCACCGGCGAGAGAGATCATCTGATTTTTTACGACGGTGGTTCAACAAATGACGCTGTATTAGCAAAATACTGCGGAGGTGACTGGCTTCCACGAGTTGTTTCTCGTGGTCCTGAAATGTTGGTTGCTTTTCATTCGTCCCCGTTTAGTATACCGTTGCATTCGCCTTCATCTCAATCAACTTTAAGAGGATTTGAACTAGATGTTGAGGTTATTTTTGTAGACTCGGATTCGCTAGATTTTTCACGCCATAAAGTAGACTGTGTATTTCATATCAACGCTACTAGTCCCGATAGCGACGAAATTTGGACTGGTAGAGGCCGTAAAGGTAAACTTTTGAGTCCTAAGCATTCCTTGCCACCAAACACCACTTGCACTTATAAGTTTAGCGGATATCCCGAAGACTTAGTTTGGATTGCCTTTATCTCATACAGCCACAAGGCATTACTGGTCGGAGAAAATGCGCATGCTTTGCTCCGCAACGATACGTCTAATAACGGTTGTTCAACGAGGATAAGTATTTGGGATGGGAATAGATTAGTAGAAGATAGATGTGACGAACCTCCCAGACTGTGTGACCATAGCGCGTTAAGCAATAATACTAGAATCACTAGACCTTGTTCAAGGGAGGAAAGTTACTTGACAGTAGATAAGAGTTTAGTTATAAGACATTATACAGAAGATGGCACTGCCTTGCATCCAGCATCATTTAAATTAATGTATGAATTTGTAGATACTAAGTTAGGAGGAGAACCATGGCCTAAAAGATTTGAAGGTGGTCCTTGTCACAGAGTGTTCAAACATCAGCATGTAGGAGAAGTAACATCTCCACGAAATATCTTCCTTTATGGTAGAGGCGGTGCGAAAGACTTAGACTGCGTTTATAGATTCGAAGCTAGTGTCAACGAAAGAGTGCGATTGATTTTAAATAATGCTTCTTTTGGAGTAAATCCTACCTGTGAAACTGTAAACGACCCTCATACGGGAAGACAGATATGTGAGTATTCATCAGGAGCTCGTACTGCCGAACTGAATATATTCGAAAAGCCTTGGGACGATATTAGAATTCATAAAACTTGTATCTGTGATAATGTTACACTTTCAAACAAACCGTTGGTATTCATTTCTGCCTCTAGAGTCCTAGAACTCCAATTTACTGCCAAAGATATGAACATAACTGAAGACTTTACTTTTATACATTTTCATATTCTGTTTGAAATAATAAAAATGGATGAATGTCCAAGAAAACAGAGGCTTAGGGGATATGGAGGCGACGTGCAGTTGCATTCTCCTCCCTCTGATAATGACGACAGTTTATGCCAAGGCATGCCTTGGATCGTAGAGGCGCGATATAATAGAAGTTTGTTTTTGTTAAGTTGGGGAGCTTTTCTACCCTTAAAACCCCGACTAGAAGAATCAACTCGCTGTCCCACTTCGAATCGCATTATGATATATTCAGGACGTCCTCCAAAATTAGTACGAGTAGTTTGTCCAGCGGAACCAGGCACTCGTCCCCTAGCTGTTCACGTATTCAGCGAAGAATGGTGGGGGGAAGCCCAAGCTCATATTGTTCAACGACCTCCTAATTTCATGATTGACTGGATAGGATCTGAGAGTGGAGAAGCAGCTTTTAGTTGGTTAGAAATCTCCAGGTCTCGATCATCGCTCCTTCACCAACTGCAGGTTCCCATAAACGCTAGCAGTAATGAAACTGACTTGGAATGTGCTCACAAATGCCCTGAGTTAGATGCTTGCATAAGTTCATCCCTCTGGTGTGACGGAAAAGACCATTGCCCGTCTGGTTACGATGAATCCGAAAGCCATTGCGGCGCCACTTCGAAGCTACTAAATTCTCTACCACTGAGTGCTATGGCTGCAGCAACAGCTGTGATATCTTCAATCATTCTTCTAGTTTGCTTAACGTTGCACAGGTCACGCGCTCGACGGAGACGAAGGCTGGCTAAAAAAAAGTTACTCACTGGTCCTAAATTATTGAATTCTAGTATAAGTTCTTGACACAAGACTCCTCCTGTAGAATATATACATGTGGATCGGGAGACAACCGTATGAGTTCAGGAGTTAACCGATTCATCCGTCCCAATGCTCACATTTTATCTACCGGTGCCTTTCTGTGATTTACAACGGTTACACGTGATATCTTCACATTTACACCATAATTAGATAAGACTCAGCAACTGTCTGTATCGAAATTATTACGAGTTAAAGGCTTTACTATCAGAGTGGCTCAAAGAAACAGGAAAACTTCTTTATTCCTAACAGTTTTTAAACTAAAATAATACGAAATATTTTACTTAAACATTTTAGATTCCTAAAAGTATATCTATTACAATGTAAAAAGTAAACACATAAAGAGAATTTTCAAGCAATTTTTTTCAAACAAATTTTCATTTGACATTTAGTTAGGTTAAAACGCAAATCGTTATTTACAAAAAATGTAGATATACATAAAATTACTTGTTGCTCACACAAGTTATATATATATAAGTCAGACAGGTATAAGTGTCAAAAAAGTATGTATGAACACAAAATCTATCAGTTACTTACAGAAAATCATGAATTGGTACGTATTTTAAAATTTTAAATAAATAGAGTAGATCAAAAACGAATCATCCAAGCGTCAATACTCTCCAGACACTTTTCCATAATCCCACTCATAAAACGTTGATGCGCTATGAGAGACTACTATGATAATACATATTGCTTGTCACGAGGCACTCTTGGGACACCAAACTCCCACTTGATGTCTTCGTCGCGTAATGTCCAGGACAGTGTCAGGCGCTTTGCTCCCGTGGTCTTCTTTTTCTTGATGTTTTGTGTATCCGTCCATCGAGCTTTAGTAAGTCTACCGGAGCCTTTTAGCTGAACACGCTCTAGAATCTGAACAGTTGGATGGAAAAATTGTCTTCTGGGATACGGTTCTCGTAGTGCTCCATTGTGGGCAGCTTGGATCTTCTTTTTATTTGTCTTGCAGATCCGTTTCTACGCAAGAGATGCGTATGCTGTTGATGCGCCTTGTCTTTGTTCCCAATGATAATTTGCTTCTTCTTCCAGATAGACTTCCAATATTGGCTTGTACAATTTTTGCTTTCTATACTATTCTTGTAATATGAGATGTGAATGTTACAAGAATACAAGTTACATTGCTTTATTTGACCATCCGATGGGAGTGTCTAACATATCTAGTTATTCAACTGGTACGCTCTATCTCTTTTGAAACATCACTGCTTGGGTTTTCTCCGAATTTACTGCAATATTCTACTGTATGCACTATTCTTCTATGGTGTTGAGTGGTGTCTGAAGGTTTCTAGTTGCAATGACTTGATTTCTGTACTTGACAACTAGGGACGTGTCGTCCGCACAGAGGCTGATCATGATGCCTGATTTTCTGGGTACATCGTCTGTGCATGTATTATACAGCAGCTTAGACAGAACAGCTCTACAAGCAGAATCCTAAATTTTCGGTTGGCGATTGAACCTCAGCTTATCTTATCCATTTCTCCAAAGACGAATATTTAAGTCAAAGTAAAAAACTGAAAATAGAATCTTTTTAAATGTATGATCTTCTTTATTTTTATTATATTTATATTTCGATCTTCTTCTTCTTCTTTGGGTGCCGTGTCCGTATTCAGACGTTGGCCGTCATCATGCTTACAATTTCCTGAAACCTTTCTCTGTCGGCTGCTGCGCGAAATAATTCTTCTACTGTGAAACCACACAATTGTCTAATATTACGCAGCCATGAAAGTTTTCTTTCGGCCAATCCATCTCTTTCCTTCCACTTTTCCTTGTATTATAAGGCGAAGTAAATGGTATTTGGGTCCTCTAATTATATGGCCTAAGTATTCTGTTTTTCTCCTCTTTATGATGTTTATGAGCAGACGTTCTGATTGATCTTTTGAAGAACATCTTCATTGGAAGTGTGCGAAACCCACGATATCTTTAGGATTCGTCTATAGCACCACATTTCGAATGCTTCTAACTTGTTTAGCATTGTGGTTTTTAACGTCCATGTCTCACAACCATACAATAGGATCGACCACACATAACATTTCAGGACCTTCTTACGAATGTTCATTGACAGGTTTCTGTTGCATAAAACTGGTTTCCAGGTCATAAAAGCCTTACCTGATATTTCGATCCTGGATATTATTTTTCATCAGAGTCACAATTACATTTAAGCCAAGGTATTTGAAATGATTTACCCTTTCTATCTCTTCTCCATTAAGAGAAAGCAGACCTTGATCTATATGGATCTTTCCAACTGCCATCCACTTTGTCTTTGAAATGTTGATTTTTAGGCCTCTCCGATAACTTGCTTCACTGACTAGATTTAGTAATGTTTGGAGATCTTGTAAACTTTCTGCAAGAATGGCTGTATCGTCAGCGTATCTAATATTGTTGATTACTTCTCCACCTAGTCTTACTCCCTCTTGTCTGTCATCCAAAGCCTCCCTAAAGATTTCTTCAGAGTACAGATTAAAAAGAGTCGGTGACAAAACACAACCCTGCCGTACTCCACGTTGATGGTATTTTTTCAGTGGACTGTCTCCAATTTGGATAGAGGCTACTTGATTGTAATATAAGTATTTCAGCAGTCTTATATCATAGTGGTCAAGTCCTGCTGCCCGTAGGCAGTCGAAAAGTGTATTGTGTTGGACTCTGTCGAACGCCTTCTCGAAGTCAATGAAACAAACATAAACATTCTTTCGGAATTCACAACTTTTTTTGTAATAGAACGCGCATACAGAATAGTGCCTCTCTAGTTCCTAGACCGTTTCTAAATCCAATTTCGATCGTTTTCTATTAATTTTTGCTTTTTCGTTTACGCAATTTGTAAATATTATAATAATATAACTTTTTTCTTTAACCCTAATTTTGCATTTCTCGTCGTTGTGTCTTCTCAAAGCTCTGTTTTTAATACATTTGCACTTATTACATATGGATCGTATAAAAACATAAAAGAAATAATAATTAAATTTTTGTTAAATTAGGCAATCAACGCGAAGCATCTAAAGTTTTACATTTGAAAACTTAGCGTAAAAGAATTATTTGACTAAGTATTGAGTCTTCGTTTTTTTGCTATAAAAGTTTCAAATTGCTCAAAAACTTTCAGAGACATTAAACTTTGTTTTTCTAATTTTAACGACGATATTAAAAAGCTTTTAAAGAGTCAATATTAAATTAATTAATAAAACTTTAAATATATAAGGGGCGGTAGGTGGATTATAGTGACTTAAAGTCTTGTGTAAAGTTGCAGTTGCTCCAAGTTTAAAAAATGCAAAAACGATGCTATATTTTAATCACTGTTAATAGTTCTTCTTTTAACATAGAAATTAATGAACAAGTTTGCTTTTTTAGTGGCTTTGGATAATGTTTGTCTGCTGTTATTCCACATAAATGATGACAGATTTTACTGAGAAGTAAAATATTGGATCAATTTTTCACTTTTTTTTAGGGCGCCTTTGTTAATTGCTATACGGAATAGCTGTGTTGAGGTCTTTATAAACCATGCTCTCAGGTTAGCAAACCAGGATATTCTTCTTCATCATGGGCCTCTTTTTCCTTCAATTTTACCTTACAAAATGCATTGGAGTAGCTCATATCTGCCTCTACTTCTCATTATATGTCCCAAGTAGTTACAGCTTACGGCCCGTCACGATGTTGACCAAATCCACGGTTGTGTTCAACCTCCGCAGCATCTTCTTCATTGGTGACTTTGTTTGTCCCTGATATTTTCAGGATCCTTCTATATCACCATAGCTCAAAAGCCGGAAGTTTTGATAGAGTTTTTGCCTTCGATGTCCACGTTTCTACTCCGTACAAAAGTAACTGAGTACACATAACATTTAAATAGCCTTACTTTAGTTTTAAGGATAAGATCATGACTCTTGAATACAAAGCTCATAGTCCAATAATGCACTTTTTGCCTTTATTGTCCCATGGCTCATTGTTTATAGTACCCAAATAGTTGTACTGAGAAACCCGTTCAATTCTCATTTGGTTTCACATACAGATTTGTTCTAGTTATGTTTTCCTTGCTGATGATCATTAGCTTGGTTTTGCTGCTGTTTATATCTAGTCCATACGTTCTACTGGTTTTCGTTATTTTGTTCATTGAGTTTTGCAGCCCTTCTATGGTATTCTCCAGCAACCCGGCTGGAGATTGGACAACCAACGCCAGTGAAAGCAGGGTCAGGGCAGTCGAGATAGGGAGAAATGGTCCTCCGAAAAAGGGGTTTTGCTAGAGACCAGCAATCTGTATATGGAAAAAGAAAGATGGGCGTAACAGCGCTTCAGGAAATGAGATGGACAGGATCGGAAAGCCCGCAAATGAAAAATCCTTAGTTGCCATAATTGATTTCAAACCAATCAAGAAGTGCATGTGCTCTCTAAGACTCAAAGGAAAATGGTTTAACCTAACCCTCCTCTCAATTCATGCAACAACGGAAGAAGCAAATGAAGACGACAAAAAGGAATTTTATGAAATTTAAGAACAACAGTACACAACGGCACCCAGATACGACATCAAAATCATACTGAGAGACTTCAGTGCCAAACTAGGTAAAGAGGACCAACTTAGAGCGGTGATAGTTACACATAGCTTACCTGCTAACACTAATGATAACGCATCAAGACTGACAGAATTCGCTGTGGCTACCAATATGCTAGTAAAAACCACACAATTCTAATGAAAAGATATACATAAAGTAACCTGGGAGTCGAATGATGGAATCACATGAAACCAGATAGATCATGTGCTTATTAATTAAAGACACTCTAAGCAATATCATCAGCGCACACAGTCTGAGGAAGCAGAAAGTAACTCTGACCACTTCCTGGACAGAGCAAAAATGAGAACAAGGCTAAAGACGAGCAGCCGAAGCAACGTCAACAAGGAAACAGATGGGACATCTCAAGGCTTTCCAGTGCAGATACTGGAAGAAGAAGAAACATTAACGCCAAAATTGACCATAGACCAGAAATAGCAAAATATA